AATTTGCTTTTAAAAAGCCAGACTTTCTGGTAAATTTTAAAGCAATCTTGATCAATATTCCTTCAAGCGCTCTGAGATTTTTGTTGTTTGACATTATCCGTTATGAATTTGATTAACCATTTTCTAGAGATTTTTAAAAATTATTTTATGGTTTGTTAAACCACTTTAGTCTCACTTATGACTCATTAAACCCCCCAAAAGGCCTCTGAAACTCAATAGACGAACTCATGTAGCGTTAGCGTGTTAGTGTTTTTGTTGATTTAAAAAAGGCTTTCGACACTATCACACCATTCTCCTTGAAAAACTAAATAAATATGGCATTGGAGGATTAGCACTACATTGGGTATTAGTTATTTGAATAATGGAGACAATTTACAGGTAAACTATGTAAGATCTGAATTTTGTGTTAATGGATGTGGAGTTCCTCAAGGTTCTCTGTTGGGAACAAAGTTGTTTGTTTATGTAAATAATCTCGTTGATGTGTCAGGGATTTTGAAGTGTGTTTTATTTGCAGATGATACCACTTTTTTTTGTTCGGGTGAACGGATGTTAGAAATGATACAAGCAGAGTTCGTAAAAATACAAACTTGGTTCCAATTTAATTAGTTATCATTAAGTTTGGAAAAAAAACACTAAATGATATTTAGTTATAGAAAGAAAGTTATTAAAGTCCCATTTAAAATTAACAATATGGAAATTCATAAAGTTAATGAAATTAAATTTTTGGGTGTCATTATTGATGAGAAGCTGACATGGAAATCTCATGTAAATTACTTAAGAATAAAAATAGCAAAATCAATTGCATTACTGTATAAAGTAAAAGAGTTTTTAAATGACAAAGCGTTGTATTTGTTATATAATGTAATGATTGTTCCTTATTTAATCTATTGTATTGAAGTTTTGGGAAACACATGCAAAACAATTACAAATCCTAATTTCATTTGACAAAAAAGAGCTATAAGAATTATTAATAGGAAGTGCTATGGTCACCCAACAAATATATTATTTCATCAGCTGAAATTATTAATATTGTATGATTTTGTTGAATATAGTATTTTGCCAGTCATGTATAAAGCTCATAAAATATATTACCTCCAAATATTCAATTAAAATTTATTAAAAAAGAGAGTCATTATAACCTCGAGGGAATGGAAATGTTTGTAAAACCTCCATTTAGAACTAATCTGAAGGAGCTGTGTTATAATTCAGGGATTGTGGAGTTGCCTTGATATCACCATAACAATTTCAAAAACAATTTATATGCTTAAAAAGATGATTAAGTTAAAGTTGTTGGGAAGGTATGGTGCCATGTGAAGGATGCCTGATATTTTTGTTTGCACTTTGGAGATTGTTCAAGCGTAGGCTGTTGTTTGTTTGTAGTTATTTTGTTAAGGGGCAGATATTAAAAATAATTTTATCATTTTTCTACACCCTTTTCATTCAATTGGTTTGGTTTATTTTGTTTCTTTTAAATGAATGAATAAATGAATTAAATAATAATAATTAAAAATATGTACACATAACAGAAAAACTGGATCTTCAGGCTCTTTGTCAATCACAGACATAATTTATTCAAATTTTAAAAACACAAAAAAGCAACATAATTTGACAGACATAAAATAGCCTTTTACTACCTATTTTGATTTTCAAAGAAGTTTCAGCTTAAAACTTGACTCAGAGCTGATCCTGTTCAAGATCTAATATTTACAGGTTGTTTTTTTTTGCATTTTAAAGACATAAATATGAGCATTTGCAAAAACTAAAAACTGCCAGGCAATGTCTTATTTTAAATTCCGCTCCTAAATAAAAGTAATAATAAAATTAAATAAATAAAAAACAATTAAAAGTAGAAATCTTATTAAAAAAATCACTGAAACGAGACTTTCACTTCAAATCTCGCGGGATTTCGAAACTAGATCACAGTGGCGACGAGATTTCAGTTGTGAAGACTTGTCGGAGGGAGAGAAGAGAAAGGCTGAGTAGACAGAAGGAAATTGTAAAAAGATTGCACTTAGATAGGTGGAGAAAAAACAAAAAAGTTATCATGGCATCGGGAGATACCCTGTACATAGCAGCGGACGGGTCGGACATGCCAGCCGAAATTGTTGAATTGCATGAAATTGAAGTAGAGACAATCGAGACAGTTGTCGACGACGATGAACATCAGCCCATGATCGCCTTACAGCCGCTCGATGATCCAAACTCGATCCACTCGCACCAAGAGGTGATTTTAGTGCAAACAAGAGAAGAGGTTGTGGGCGAGGATGATTCTGAGATGCATACAGACGACGGTTTTGAGGATCAAATCCTTATCCCGGTGCCTGCCGTGGAAGAGGACTACATCGGACAGACTCTGGTTACAGTCGCCGGCAGAAGCTCGTCTTCGGGCCGGATGAAGAAAAGTGGAAGCGGGAAAAAAGCGTGTAAAAAGAGCTACATAAGCGGAGTAGAGATGGGTCGAAAGTGGGAGCAAAAACAGGTCCAGATAAAGACTTTGGAAGGGGAGTTTTCAGTAACTATGTGGGCATCGGGTAAGTTCCCTGTCCAGTCTGTTGCTTTGTTCTTATGTGTCGGGTGACTAGGCCCCAGTTGGCGCCTCGTCCTCTAAAGTAGAATTATTTTCCCCAACTCTAAACAACTTATACCCCATTCGAAATGTTTTTGTTTTTATGGGAAGCCATGTTTTATGTGTCGATGGGCGCCGCCATATTTCCCCGGTCTAGAAAGTATGGCGGCCCGAAAAAATGGCGTTTATCTGGCCGACGAACATGGCGGCGACGGTGGAAGCGAAGTGCTGGTAGCTTCGCTGGGCCGCTGTGGCGCAGTTTTCAGTTAAAACAGAGGCGGCGGTGCTGCCTTCAGGAACCCCTCGGACTTTACGGCTCAGTTTTGTTATTTTTCGCAACCGCAACGACTGAAATGTTTTCCGATATATCTCTGTGGCGATTGCAATGAATACACGACTAATAATGCTATTTTTTGAGATAGGATGAAAATTTATTGGTTTCAGTTTAGGTGTGCGTGATGTTTTTCCTCTCATGACTGCCGTTTCCAGTTATACATACGTGCACAAAATAAGTTCCTACGTTCATGAACTCAACCAAATTTGTTTTTCTAATATAAATATAATGCGTGTTTTTAAACTCCTTTCACAGTTTCTGTTCAAATGTAATATTACACATAGTAATATTATTTTAGTAATGTAATTTAATATTATAATATTTAATATTATGATAATAAAATTTAGTTCATAAATGTGTTTGCAATTGTATTTACAGTACAACTAATTAATATAAAAAATGCAATAGAAATTAGTGGTTATGTGATATTTTGGTTTAGGACATTTCTCTGTCTCAGATTTGTGTTTTTCTCATTCAGACGACAAGAAGGACATAGATCACGAAGAGCAAATCACAGAAGAGAATTCTCCTCCAGATTATTCTGAATATATGACTGGAAAGAAGCTTCCTCCTGGAGGTATCCCAGGCATTGACCTGTCAGATCCCAAGCAGCTGGCAGAGTTTGCACGGTAAGAGTTGATGCTCAGACCAGACACTGTTTAAAGACCGCCATGTTATTAAGAGCTGTAATGCGGGTGCAGAAGTAGGAGATTTAATGCATTGCGTGGCTTAATCAGCACATTCAGCTCTCTTTCCGTGCCATTTTTGCGTTAAATTAAGGATGGATTAAAAACCTTAAGTATACCTCCCACAAATTATTAGTCACATACATATTTTTACAGCATGCCATGTTTGTAATTTGTATTGAATATTTTTTTAAATAATGCCACTATCTTTTATTTGTTCTGCAGAATGAAGCCAAGAAAAATAAAAGAGGACGATGCGCCCAGAACGATAGCTTGTCCTCATAAAGTGAGTGTGATATTTCATTCAGTGCATACACTTTGTAGCAAAAATTTCAGACTGAGTAGGCAAACATTAGTTCCTCGAATTGTGCCATTCTTATCAGCACTCTCTTCCTGAGAGCCTGCAGGCATATTACAAGTGATTAATAATTGTAAATAAATCCGCTTTGTTGTGTTTTCTCTCTTTAAGGGATGCACAAAGATGTTCAGGGACAACTCTGCAATGAGAAAACACTTGCATACGCATGGACCTCGCGTGCACGTCTGTGCAGAATGTGGCAAAGCTTTCGTGGAGAGTTCAAAACTGAAAAGACATCAACTTGTGCATACAGGAGAGAAACCTTTCCAAGTGAGTCTTTTTTTTTAATTTTTATCTTAAATGTTTATCATACAGCGACATAATATATATTTCATATTTCACTGCATTAACTGACTCTTTTGTGTTTCCAGTGCACATTTGAGGGATGTGGAAAGCGCTTCTCTCTGGACTTTAACCTGCGCACACATGTGCGTATTCACACTGGAGACCGCCCGTACGTGTGCCCCTTTGACGGCTGCAATAAAAAGTTTGCTCAGTCCACCAACCTCAAGTCTCACATACTCACACATGCCAAAGCCAAAAACAGCCAGTGAGTTATCCGTGGACGAATCAGGCTCAGCGCGAGACAAACTCTTGAGCGACGGGACTCTCTCTGTTCGTTGAGTCTCGTGTTCTTCGGCCTGCTTTGTTGTGATGAGCCCGTGTTTTGCCTCTACAGAAAATATTCAAACTGGGAAAACAAAATTATAACGTTTTCAAGCAAAGAACTGATTTCTTTTGACCCGGCGTCCACCTGATGGTTTAACCTGGAGGGAACATTTTTAAAGTTTCTTCTCATGAAGATATTTATTCACAATTCCTGCACCTAAAAAAAAAAAGAAACTTATTTATACAGTAACAAAACCACTTTTTTTTTTTTGCAATCACAGTCAAATGTACATACTTTTGCAGCAACTTTTCAATTTTATAACTTTGCCCAAGTGTGCATATTGTACACGGATTTATTTGAGCGTTGTCGTATGTATTAGGACTGTTTTGTTGCTTTTCCTGGAAAAGGTTTCAACGTTTGGTTTTACTTCCCCTTTTTTCTCCTCAATAGGACTTTTGAGGAGGGGACACTCAGAATCGTGTGGGTTTTGTTTTGTTGCCCTTTCACTAGTGATGATCAACCATTAAAATACTTTTCCTGTTACTGTACACCACAAATACAGACACATCTTAATTTTTTTTTTGTAATCAGCTCTTTTGAGTTTCAGTATCATTAAGAGACAAATCCTTGGGCTGTACTAAATGTAGTGAAAAATAAAGCAACTCAGGTTAGCACAACAGTTGTGCTTTTTATTTTCTCCTGTAATGTGGAATATATAACATAAATGTACCAGCTTCAAGTATAATACTAGTCAAACCTTTAATATTTTGTTGTATTTGTACAACGGATAGTTGTCATTGTCAGGTATGACATGACGTCCAGTTGGTGACAATAGGGTTTTGTTTTGTGTAACGTGACGCCCTCAGTGCAAAGTAGATATCAGAAGAATTTGCAATGGAAATTAGGTTTTATTCCAACTCGCTGGTCACTCGTCTGCAGCCAAGTTCTCAGAAGCTTTCAGGGCTTCAGCTAACAACAAAAACTAATGTTTACCAAGTCATTTACTTGTCCTTTTATTGAAAGTACGTAGAATATAAAACAGAAAAATGGTCACGGTAACCAAACACTCGTGGTCTTTAATTTACTAGATTGAACTGTGAAAAAAAACAACATTGTTTGAAAAATAAAGGATCGAAAGAGATCCCATTCAGTTTTTTTTTTGCATAAACATCAGACTCCATTTTGTGTCCTAATGAACTGATCGCTTTTAATAAACCACAGAAAAAGCTGCCACTCTCATACAACTTATTTTAGGCTTTTCCAAGAACAAACAATAAAATCAAGTGCAATAAGTCGTAAACCTGCAGATGTAAAACACATTAGTGCATTTTTTTTTATATTAGCCACTTAAGGCCACAAAATATAGTAAAATAAGCCAGTTAAACCCCATGTGTTTCTGTTTATTTAAACCACGAGTGACATTAGAACTGCAAGTGGATTTAACAAAAGTTGATCTAAACTCATCCCTGCCGAGATGTTAAAAAAAAAAAACACTTTAAAGCATTCTAACATCAAATATAATCATTAAAGATCTTCACATTTCAGTAGTTTCTTTAAGCAACATGCGAGTCAAGCCCTTCTCATTTCTGGGAATCTTAACGGTGAACATTTAAAGCAGAGGATTACTGTTAATACCAGTCGTCATCTAGATTTGTAGGGAAATCCATTCCAGTAAAGATGCATAGAAGAACAGAAAAAGGCAACTGCGTTACTTTGAAAATTCCAAATTTGAAGATAAAATCACTAAAACTGCACGCCTTATATAAAGCTATTTAAAATATGACATTAAATAGGTAAAAAAAATAATTGCAATGAATAAATTCTATCCAATTAAAATAAGATTTGAACCGTGCGTGCGTTTCAGAATAAAACAGCAGCAATTACCGGTAGTTTAATAATTCCACTGTTCTGCCTTTCAGCGTCAGAAACCTGATCAGGAGTTTGATTTGCTCTCGGAGCAGACGTCAGTTTGTTTTTTTAACTTGTTCCGTTTAGTCCGTTATGAGTGCAGCCAGCAGTGCAGGGTAGTTCGGCGTCCCCCAGCCTGTAACGGGGTCCCAGGACGGTGCTGCACAGAAGCCCTTTCCCTGAACCTGCTCGTCCAGACAGCCCAGGTGGCAACCTTCAGTCACCTGAAGAAAAACAAACGGCGTTTATCAGACCACGACGACACGAGTTGCAACGCATTTTCTTTAAAAACAGAAAAACAAAAACTACCTAACTGAATCCTTTCGACGTTATTTTATTTTATTTTTTTCACTGGAAGCAACAAAGACGATCAAACCTTCCCTGCAGTTCTAACTTACATCAAACAGCCCCTGTTGTTTGAGCTTGTAGAGGCGAGGGTTGAAGAAGCCCAGCGGAGGCTGACCCTTCAACAAGCGCTGATCATTGATGAGGGAAAGAATGCCTCCAAACACAGGAGTCGATGCCTGGAGGGGCCGAGGAATGCATGCAAGTCAATAAAGATAACCGAAGGTGTAAATACTTATAAAAATGATACGTTATCTGTACTGTAAAACATTTACTTATATCACCTGCTTTGACTCTTTTTTTCTCTTTTAACAATTGGAGTAAAAAAGAAAAATACTGTCTTTAAAAGGTGTTTCCCCAAAAGATGAGTTGTAGCCAACATTTCTCTGCTGGATGGAGCAACAAACTTGTTTAGCAAGGGAAGTCTTGCTCAACGAAGGGGTCGAAAGCACCGTTTCTTTTGTTTAAGCAGTCATCTATACTAGTCGGACCAGATTTTAGGACAACTAAAAGAAATAGTTCTCACCAGGAAAAAAAAAATAGGTGGAAAAAGCCTGAACTTTTTGAAATGCTAGTTAATTTACAGTAGTCCCTCGTTTTTAAATATATATATATATTTATATATAAAAAGGCGTTTTAGACCCCACCTTCTTGCAATATTCTAAACAGCAGCTATGTTTACATATGCAAAATTCTTTAATCGGATTGAAATGTATTCAGATTAAATAATCCTAATGTAACATTTACATGGGCACAATCTGATCCTGACGAGCGTTTACATGCAGCGGGCTTTTTACTCAGAATAGAAGTACTGACATCCGCAGAGTGGTAAACTCTCCTTAAAAAAAAAAAAAACACAGAAGAAGAAGTTCCACTTCCATGATGAACGTAAACAAACTGAGCACCCAAAATGGCCCCGCACCAGGTTTTATTGATGGTGGAGACGTTACTGCACACCTTGACTGAGCTACAGGTAATGCAGATCATTTTGAGCTCTTGCATGCACACTGTTTGGATTGTGAATCGGCATAAACCACCCGTCTCATTCTGATCACAAATCCATTCGGATCGAGCTGAATCAACAAAGAATAATCTGAATGGGGCGTTTACATGACACATTTTTATTCCAAATGGTCGGTTAATCCGATTACTTATGTCCATTTTAACATAGCTAATGTTTCTAAACTCTAAAAGAGCACAGAATGTCATGATTTCAGCTCTATGCCTTGGCTGCACTCTGCCACCTGCAAAAGCTCTTGGCCACGCCCACTTCTCCACTCTGCACGGAGATCAGCTGATCAGCTGCAGGAGGAAGCTTATCCTGCAGTGTGGGCTGCACAAAGGTTCTAAATAATTTAAAATAATTTATTTTAAATAAAAATTCCATGCCTATCATGCGTCTCATCCATCAATCATCTAACTGTGTGTCATGTTCAATCGTATTTTGAAAAAACCACGATACAGCGAGTTCGTGATGAACTGCAAAATAGCGACGGAACACTGTACTCTTTAAAAATCATTGCACTGGCTTGATTTGTGTTTTTGTTTGACGTTTATGAAGTGTAACCATGTTAATATGTTTTACCGAGGTTCCCGACACCCAGGGGATGGGAATTCTGTTGTTGACCACCCAGTAATTGTCCGACAGAGCAGCCATGTCTGGGTAGGCCCGTCCGCTGGCATTAAAGTACGACACGGGAGGGAGCGTTGCTGCTGCAGCTTTCAGGTATCCCTGAACTGAGCCGACCTGTGGAAACACAACTTAGCATCAGTACAGAAAAAAAAAGTCAACTAAAGGCTGCATGTTTGTTATCTGCACCTGGTAGTCGGGCATCTTGAAGACATTGCTGAAACCACCTCCGCTGATGTAATCTGTGACTTCATACGTGACTTTAAACGGGTTCTTGAACGAAGTTCCTCCAACTGTAGTCACATAAGGGCTGCATGTGCATTTTTACACACACGCGACAGGTTTTTAGAATAAGTTCCACTTTTTCATTCCAATTTCATTTTACAGCTTTTAGATTTAAGCATTAAAAACATCTTGAACGTATTTGGAATCAGTTTTGGTTTCAGATGTTTACCTGGAGGCAGGAAAACTGGGCCTGAAGACGTTCTGCGTTGGATTTAAATGCCTGCATCCAGCGCCGCTGTCACCTGAACACATCAGGGACACAAAGAGTGATGCAACAGCAGACCTTTCAGGCTTTTGAATATTGGTGCACACTACAGATCAAGTTACACGTAAAAGATTAACAAGCGCTCAAAGGCTCTTTTAATTTAAACAATAATGTGTTCGTGTTTCAAGTGACATTAATTTGACAATAAGAATAAAGTCATAGTTTACAGGTCGTCATGGAGATGATAATTGTGGACAGATTGTCAGAACGCTGAGGCTTTTGTGATGGAAATGAAAACTTACTGTTCATCACTGAATCATTTTAAGAAACAGGAAGTTGTGTCGCGTAAATCACCAAGTGTTATACAAATTATCAGTCCAAAAAAAATGTAGATATCTAAAATGATAAACTGAAGCAGTACATTGTGTTAGCCCACTATCATGCTTCATTAATGGCACACATTAGATTTTGGCAAATGTTCTTGAATGTCTGGAAGTAATTACTGACCGGAGGCGAAGAGCAGAGAAATCCCCCTCACTCCAGCTTTCATAAACTCTGTATTAATGCGCATCATGTAGGCAGCGGACAGACTGTCCTCGTCGTCTCCGTAGCTGATAGTGTGAACCCAGGGCAGGGCAGACATGTTGCTGAGTAAGACCATCCACTGGAGGAAGGGCTCCTGGGACTCGTGACGACCTGGAGACAAACAGAAAGACAAAGGAATAAGAAATGTAATATTTTTACTCTTTCACCTGTAGACATACATATGGTCACAGATAAAGTTCTGTTTGTGCAGACCTGGATTAGTGAAGACCCATGTGGAGATGTTGGCCCCTGTGCTCATGATGTACTCCACATCCAGACTGGCCTCCAGACCAGCTTTTCCTCCTCCCTGGGTACCTACAACTCGATCCACCTGAGACAGATGCTTGAAGGAGCTACCATATATGTACATGAACTCGGCCAAGTCGGCGGGGTGGAAGTACTGCTCCAAAAACTACAAGAAAAAAAAAGCAGATAAAAAGAGAATCAACAGAGTTCTGGTTGTTCTAACACCAGAAGTGACGCTCATAAACTAATCCTATTAGTGGACCATACTTGAGCTACAGCCTGGCTGTTGTTCTTCTGAGCTGATCCCACATCAGCTGCTGTCAGATTGTAGCGAGCTCTCAAGACGGAAGGAGTCACTCCGAGGTGCACCCACGCCGTTGACTCTGGCTGCTTCCTGCGGGCGTCTTTCCCTTTAGGTGGAAGGCGGTGAAGCCCTCCGACTGTGGCGGTGAAAAAAAACAACACCGCAATCAGAACTGATCTCAATAGAAATACTTGTACTTGTGCAAACTGTGCACATCAATTGATGAAGCTCACCAAAATCAAGGTGTTGGTGAACATCATCATGAACCGAATACGGAGCAGAGGATCGGACTATAGACTGGCCGTCCCTGACGTAGCGATGGAATCTACTTCCTGGAAGAAGCTTTTCTGCAACACTATAATGCAAAAAACAATCATAACATTAATATTCTTAAAACTAGAACTGAATAAGCTAAAACAATTCTTTTTTTTTTAAATAAAACTCAAGTTTGAGGTAATGCATGCCGCATTTTTTAATAAGCTAACACAGATTTTTGCAGTTTAGACTGCCGCATCAAATTTGCTTTTTCATCGTGTGAAACCTCAAAAATAGGAACACGAGATACAAGCACAGCTTTTTCACAAGATTTATGAAACCCAAGAAGAAGAAGTAACTAAACAAGAAGACTTTCTGTTTTCAGCTGCAAGTGAGTTGAGCAAAGCAGGACAGGTGATACTAAAAAAAGATGTGCTTACTCTGCAGCCACGGTGCACTGTAAAAAGTCCTGAGTGCGAACAGTGAGACACTGTGAAATCCCATGACTCTGCAGCCAGCTGTGCACCACTTTCTGGGTGAGTTCAGATGGACGAACAAGCGAAGCCACTTCCTCCAGGCTGAGATGTTTACCTGTGGAGGATAAACTTAGTTATGCAGTTTGAGGTGGTCAGTTTAGACTTAATGCATGTGTATTTTTTTGTTTTCATTCTGAATTTGTGAGCTGCCTCATAGCCGAAGCCCTACCATACTGAGGCGAGTCCGGGTCTGAAACCCGGTTGAGTGTTTCCTCCAGCAGGTGAAGGTTCTGCTGCTTTAAGGCAAACGTCAGCTCCAGCTCCTCTGAAGCACCAACTCTTCCAGCATGGATCCATTCCTCTGGTATCCTGTAGGAAAAAAAAAAAACCATTGTATAACACTAACTAAACTATCATTTTAACTAAACTAATGATTATAGTAAACATACTAATGCAGGTTAATGCATTGTGCTGTGTGAGATTATTAGAAAGTAATTAAATAAAACTTCCCATACAGCAACATGAAAGGGATATTCTGGTCATTTATGAACTTAGACGTAATGTTCTCCTAAATACTTAATAGTTATAATGTTATCAGTCATGACTTGAACCTTAAAGCATAAAGTATGGAAAAAAGGGCTAAAGTTATCATCCAGGCCATAATTCACAAAAACCTCTACACTGTTGCCTCACCCTAACTATATCTGTTACTAAGATGTACTTGTGCCCTCATGTTCTGTGACTGGTAAATACTAACTATAGATAATATCGTTATGACACAACACACCTTCAAAAAATGACCAGACTATCCCTTTAATGGCCCTAGTTGGATATGGGGTCAGGCTGGTCAGCAATTTTCTACTTTTGGGGTTCCAGTTAATTTTTTAGTTGGAAAAAAGAAATTCCAACTTCCCTTGAACGCATCATAGATTAGTAAATGATTTATATCAGTCTTATTAAATAGAAAGCATTTCACTAACTATTCGTTGTCTATTTTACAAGAGAAAAAAAAATGTATATGTGGCTTTAAAAGATGGCTCACAAGACATCTTGGTCATATTCAAGGTATCCACTCCAGACCAAAGAGACGAACAACAAGAGGATGTAGAAGGGAAATCTGTTGGAAGGAGATCAAAGTTAACATAAATACACCCGGAAGTATTAAAAAAACAAATCAAAATCTGGAAACAGGTAGTGGTTATATTAAAAACAGCAGCACCGTGGAGATGGAGCTGAAAGCAGACTCATTTCTTAATTAAATATGTATATTTATATGTAATAAATGTATATTTTGGCAGCTCTATGAGCAAAAGTTATTTACAGCAGCTTCAAATAACCTGTTTAACCCGGGTTAGCGGCGGCTATCTATGTAGGTCATCTCAAACAATAAACATAACCGCGCCTCACAACACTAGTCACGTTAATATATCACTTATTTTAGTCGTGTTATATAAAAACAAACCGTTCAGTTTATTCAAAGCACTTACGGTGTGTTCATGGTGTCCTCTACTGTCCTACCCGCTCGTGACTGTTTTGTAGTTGAGTCACGTGAGATGCATTCACGTGATCTGGATCGACTCGTAAAGACACGGAAGTCTGAGAATGGCAATACTTTCCAAAACCTTTTAAATTTTGTTTTCCTCATTATTTATATATATATATAGATATATATATAATTATATTATATATAATTATATATCATTATATTTCCTCTTCAGACCCGAACTCTAACATGATATGCATTTTTAACTTCCCTATGTTATTTGGGTTGATTGGGACCTGATGAGTGTAAAAAACAAGATTGATCTTTTTACATGATGCAGTCTTTGAGGAAAAATGATGTCCACATATGTGGACATTCGTTTTTAAAACTGATACAACGCAACAAATTTACAATTGGATAATGATATGCAAAATTTTTATTTTGTGTCTGAACACAGCAGTATTTTCCTAAGTAGAAAAACAATATAAAAAAATTGTGCTCCATTGAACAATATGACTCGTTTGAAGTGCTGCTAAAGGTTGCAGTAATATGCACGTAACAAAGTAAACATTCTAAATGTTTTGCAGTTTACTCTTCATTTCAATTGCTGAACATGGCATGAAGCATTTCACTTATACTCCCAAACTTCTATTTCAAACATTGTTTTCCCCGTGTGAGAACATGTTTACACCCATGTGTGAAAGGCTTTGTAACAGTTGCGACCTGCCTGTAAGCAAAGAAGCACTTTGCATTTAGCACACCACACTTGTGTTGTCCCTGAGCAGCCTTTTGCCCTGCAGCGCGCTGCATTTTTCAAGTTTACCACCTCTGGCAGATGTGCATTAGCCTTCCTGCAGACTGAGACATGGGGCACTGCCTTCACTGGATGTTTTTTTTCCTTGGACTAAAACGTCTTGGTCATCTTCTTGCTCTGAAAAGTCAGAGTCATCATTGTCATGCTGAGCCAAGAAGGCCATGGCCACTTCCATACGGAATTCAAGGAACGGCAGGATGTTCTTCTTTGGTGTGCCACATACAGTGAGGTCAATACCATCTGCTGTTGCACAAACAAAGTTTTTTATGCCAACTGGGTTTGGTTTCATTGGCATATATTGTCGACATGGACGAGCTCCTTGGAATGGAATCATCTGCTCATCAATGGAAACAAATTCTGGTCGAGCCTGAGACTTGCAACCTTACAGAATGCGGCTCAGAAAAGGCCTCACCTTCCAGAATTTATCACACTTTTTCAGATCTTCTGGAACGTCTTCATCAATGAGTATTTTGAGTGATCGCCTCAGTCTGAAAAATCTGTCACGTGTGAACTTTTCAGTGATGGCAGGTAATCTCAAGGTTTTGGACCAGTACATCCTGATTGCAGCACGGTGGCGCAACTGGTAGAGCTGCTACCTCTCAGCGAGAAGGTCCTTGATTCAAACCCCGGTCCAGGGGCCTTTCTGGGTGGAGTTTGCATGTTCTCTCCGTGCATGCGTGGGTTTTCTCTGGGTGCTCCGGTTTCCTCCCACAGACCAAAAACATGCATGTTAGACTGATTGGTAACTCTATATTGTCCCTAGGTGTGAGTGAGAGAGTGAATGGTTGTTTGTCTCGTTTGTCTCTATGTGTCCCTGTGATGGACTTGCGACCCGTCCAGGGTGTAACCCGCCACTCGCACAGTGATTGCTGGACATGGGCACCAGCGACCCCCGTGACCCAAAATGGAATAAGCGGGTAAAGATAATGGATGGATGGATGGATGGACATCCTGATTGCAGGATAAGGTGCACAAGACAAGAAAATACAGGCACCAAAACAATGATCAATTTCATCAGTTGATGTGTTGAGCTGGTCCCCATTTCTAGCCAGTGACATAGCATTAGAGCAATCGGCAATCATTGTCATCAAATCTTTATCAATATACTGTTCTATGTAGTCAAGTGGGGTCCAGTCTTCTCTGTTCTCCACAGTTTCATCATCATGCTCAAACTGGGCTTGATTTGGCGTTAGCGGAGAAGCCCTCCATCGCATCCCACGCCCTTTCTTGGACTGTTCTTGATGACTTGGTCCTGGTGTTGTCTCATCAAGGAGATTATTTGAGACATCAGCCTCATCTTGTTCTGTCTGAGAGTGCGTGATCTGGCACGATCTGAACGATATCCTTCATATTCATGTTAAACTTAGAGGGCTGTGGAATGGGATCTTCACACCCAATACTGTCTTCCTCACTGCTGCTTGGTTCCTGTTGAGGGGGTTGAAATTCAGTATCCTCTACGGGATCATCAATGTCTGACAAATCTTCTATCTCAGAGTTTTCTCCATCAATTCCATTACTTTTGACAGAGAATAATGCTCTGTGAAAAAAAAAAAATCATAAGCAAAATCAAATAAAAATCTACGTACATTTATTTCTAAAACATTTTAAATCTGCTGGCACTATAGTCAACTATTGTGTTCTACCAAATTCATCAAAAAATACTATTTTATTTTTACATTTTGTTGTTAGCAGTTATGATAAAATGTAAATATTTTCAAAAAAACCAAGTCCTTATGTCCACATATGTGTGCATCATGTTTAGCACTATGACAAATCATTGCATTTATTAACTTTTGTAAAATTTGACTTCTAT